TGTTGAACTGTTCAAATAAGACACTCACCTGGAACGTGTACTTTTTGAACTAATGAGAAAAATTCACAACTGAGTGAATCAAGTTAGTATTGTACTTCAACAACATATTGATGAATAGATGGCTGGGTCCACCCATAATTTCTGCAACAATCCACTCGTTTGTACTTGAATAACTTGTCACAATATATTACTAATTTGGTTTAAGTAACATTACTAATTTCTGTTGAAAGGCGATTTGACAAAAAGTGGATAATCTTTCAAATGCTGACTTTGTATAATAAGTTATTTTTCAAGTACAAATAAGTGGATTGTTGCGGAACTTATGGGTGGACCTCTGCCAGTTATCTACTCACCAATATACTGTTGAACTCTTCAAGTAAGACATTCACCTAAAACGCGTAGTTTTTAAACTAATGAGAATAACTCACATTTGAGTGAGTCAGGTTAGTATCGTAATTAAACAACATATTGATAAATAGATGGCTGCGGAACTCGCTGTGCTCGTCCCGCAGAGGTCCACTCATAAGTTTCGCAACAATTCACTCATTTGTACTTGAATAACTAGACACACTTGTTACAGGCTTCCTTTGGCTCTCTACTTGTTTATAAAATCAATACAATACGTCAACATCACGTTTTCTAGATGTCAATCCATAGACAGACACACAGATTGACTTGAAATACGTAACAACATAACCTAATTCTAATACTTTAACAATGAAGTAGAAAGAAGGTTTGGAATGAGCTTTGCGTCATTCAATTGATTCCAGAATGAGATAGCGCTAGTGAGGGCAAAAAATCTATTGAATCTCCCATATCTATCACTCTAACCTTGAGTGAGATAGCGCTAGTTAGGGCAAGAAAATTTATTTCAAGATTTTGTATGGAGCTTGGGTTTGCTTTCCCTTCAGACACACTTCGCAAATTGTAGTAAATGGATATTTTGATGCATGGCCTATTCTACGATGCCATAAATCCGAATCTTGTTGTGGAATGTTTAACATTGCATGCTGCATTAAAAGTCATAGTATATAAATTTCCTGCAAGATTTCCTTTATCATAGTCGTTTTATCTCTAAAGATCAGCACTTCTCTGTCCTTGAACAATATTTGCAATCCTTTTTGTTCAATTTTCTTTACTGATAGTTAAATTATTATAAGTGAGCTTTATACACAACAAAACTTTTTTCCAATTTAATCTTTTTACCATCGCTTGTTTCTAAATGCAAAGTTCCTTCTTTGAAAGCCTCAATAGTTTCACCTTGTTAAGCTACTGGCATTCTGTGACATATTTCTTTCACATCAGTTAAATACTTGTCCAAGTTGGTATGTATTAAGTGGTTTATAACTCCACTATCAGCAATAAATATTATTGATTTTTCTGTTGATAAAGCTGTATTCTCACTGGTTAAAAATGCTATTTCATTTTCTTCAGTTAAATTACATTGAGGGTTTCTAGAATTGCCTGCAGAATTATAATTTTGCGAGTAATTTGATTGTTTCTAATGTTTCTACATTCTGATTTTTTGTGCGACCTCTTTTTCAACATTTGTAACATTTGAATGGAAAATTGCTAGTATTGAAATGTAATTAGCCAGGTGCTAAATAAAGGATTAATATAATATATATTACTGTTGCTATTAAACTTTGAACGAGGGTTGTATCTATTTCTGTTATTTCCTCTTCCTCTACCTCGAAAGTTTCTGCTCATGAATACTTGTAGTCCTTCTTCATTGTCATTTTTGCTTCTGCGTTGTCTCTCTTCTTCCATTAAAAATTTATTCTTGATAACATCAAGGGAGATAATTAGTACTTGCTTGACAGTATAGTATGTCGATTGCTGTTACTACAGAATTATAAGAGGATGACATTGCTGCCAGAAGTTGGCTAATCACTTCTGTTTCCTCAATATTTCCGCCACTGTTAATAATATCTGAAACTGTCTTTTCAAATTCTATAATAAATGACTGCAATGAATCTTTTTCTGCGCATTTGAAATTTCTTAATTTACTTTGTGAATGAATTGAATTTGCAATTCCTCTTTTCAAGATTGTGTTTTTTAATTCCGTCATAATTTCTTTTGCAGAAACTTTACTTTTAATCATTTCCAAAATATTGTCTGATAAGCATTGCACAATGACACTTCTTGCTTTGATGTCCTTTTTCTTGAAATCTGCTATTTCCTACCTTTGGATCTTCAGTTGCTGCTGGAGGTTCCTTTTCCAGTACTTCTACTACTTCGTAATGCTCAAGTAGCAAGAATCAAGGTAGCCGATGTTGTAGCCATTTTCACATGTTATACCTAAAACTGTTGTTTTTATTATTGTTAGAAATAGTGTATTTAAATAGTGTATGTAAATATTAGTTTGTGATTCTCTTTCCGGCCATATTTTGCTTGTCAAGGTCATTTTTGGATAGGCTAACTATTTCTTCCTTTCATTCACTTCCGTTACACAACGACACTGGGCCCATAACCTGTGAGCTGTTTATGAATAAATGAAACAATTTTCCCGTTAAATAACACCAGGTTTATTAATCAAAACGAAAATTAGACACACTTTTTACAAGCTTCCTTCGGCTCTCTATTTGTTTACAAAATTAATACAACACATCACGTTTTCTAGATGTCAACCCACAGATAGACACTTGACTTGACAACATACGTAACAACATAACCTAATTCTAATACTTCAACCACAAATGCCGGCTTTAGCTACTAAAAATGTGATTACAAATCCGAATTGTAGGTATACATCATTCAACACCTGATAGTTGTAGGTCTAAAACAACGTTGTCCATGTAAGAACGAATTAGTAGTAGTACCTGGTGGTTTTCTACCATTGTTTTCCATCGTGAAATTGGATGCAAATTCTTTGGCAAAGAGATCTGCTTTTTCCTTTGACGCAGACAATTGTATGGAAAAAAATGTATAATCGATATTGGCACTAAACCATCAACGTAATTTTTTTCCAGAGCGACAAGGATGAGGCATAATTGAATTTTTTCACGAAAAAGATTTCGGATCAATGATGCGTGAGCAAATTAATGGGCCATTAGATATTTTAATGGTTTCGAGGGTAAAAAGAAAATTGATAGGATTATGGCTATAAAATATTTCAAAGAAACCCGACACTCGCAGCGTACAAAACAGAAATATCAGTTCATATACAGTTCGTACTAAAAACTAAAAATAGGGCCGCAAGAGACCGGCACAACACCGTTTTCACATCTCCTCGAAATTTATACATCTTTACCCGCGCCGAAAAAGGGATTTAGAGTATTTCGCCCACTATTTTACTCCGCATAACCAATCAAAATGTGATCGCGAATGCCGCAAGGTGTTCGGGAACACATAAATTCTTATATGGCGATGGAGCAGGGAGGGAGCGCACCCCCTTAAAGTAAAAATATATGTATCGGAATCGGGTTTCTAAGCTTCGCACTTTACAGCGCTTTAAATTTACATTACTCGAATGGGAAATGAAAAAGTACAACTCCTTCTATTTTCTTTAAGGAGTTTCCCATTTAACGAGTCTATGCATTAGTATTGGAAACTACAAGTCCGGGATAGTAACGAGACCCTGAAGTTAAAGCACTTTTGTAGTTTTGAACGAAAAAAACCCGTTTTCATAGAGACACCGGAACTGGACGTGAGCCGATAGAACTGATAGAGACACTACTACTCAAGTTTCAGCGAGTCTGAACTTCGGGACTGCACAGATACTAAAATTCGAGAAGATACACTTTATGTTAAAATTAGTTCAAGTTTATTGGAGTCCAATGAAAACAAAAGTGAGAAACTGTTGTCACGACAGAGAGGAGCGTTTTAATGTAATTCTACTGATATGAAAATAGCACTGGGAGCATGAAGAGTCTATGGAGCAGAACATTAGGAAATTTCACCTGGGAAGATTGAAGAAAATTAATTTACTCAGCTCCTAATGAAATTTTGTAGCGTCATGGTATACGAGGAAAAGCGAAATTGTTTTCTAAAACAAGATCATCCAGGTATAGGAAAGTTGATGCATCTCAGCTATGAACTGCAAGAAGCTTATTTTCTTCAAGTGACATTGCTAGCTATAGCTAAAAAGTAAAGCTATTGCAATACTGAAAAAAAAACTACGGATATGACAAAGTAATAACTAATATTCTACAACGGGCCACAAACAAGATCGGTCATCGATTGCGTCAAAAGAGCCAGCCTCCTTCCACCGCTTTGGTAGATTTAATTATAGGGCAGATTTTATACCGAATTGATGGTATTCTTTTGACGTTTGTTCTGGTCTTTCGTGGCTACCGGTTTTGTATAAAGTCATAGAGAATTTTAAATATTTGGTAATTATTTCTATACGTATATCCAGAAATCCAGTTTATGAAATAAAAAAAAAAAGACTCGAAGCCCTCGAGAAGCCGCTTTTGTTATCATTTCCCCATGCAAAGAGCTCGTATAGCCATGGCATCAAAAAGCCCGCTTTTTTTGTAACTTTTCATCCTCCTGTGGATCCGCACCGCCTGATTACTTCTTGGTGTATGCCTGGATCGTTTTTCCTTCGTTTTTATTTCGCTCGTAATATTCTGAATTTAGTGCCACGAAGCCTTATCCCGAGGGATCTTTTGCAAATTAGGTGATTTTGTGCACCAAAAAAAAAAAAATATTAGAGAATTTAATTTTAAAGGTTTACGTATTTATAATGGTCAAGCGATTACGCAGTACCTCCCTAGTCCAATAACTTTGTACGCGAATTGCACCACGGTGCTAAAGCAGTGATTTACGAGCCTTAAAATGAAATTTGTTATATTGATTCCACTGTAAATTAACCACGGGTCACTGAAGGCGAGATCCATATGGTTATTTATTCATAGGATTTGGGCGTGGGTCGTCAGGACTCGGCTAAGTGGGGGTGACAGTAAATTATGGCTGATTTAAAACTGCGTCTAGAGAATTTTTTTTTTTGTATGTTGATTGGAAATTGCCATTGACGCTTATATTTTTTTCTTTAGTGGTACCAATGCGATTTGGACGCAGTTTCTCCGGAATTGAGGCTCAAATTTGTACAACTGGGTCCAGACGAGGATACGTTGAAGTTTATAGATGAAGCAGAAGAAAAATCCGATTGGATTTTCACCCAGATATGGCATATGTTGGTCAAACTTGTTTTGGGTTGGTTCATGACGCAAACATCTATTAACGGGTAAGTGTTTTTTAATAATAACTTTCTAATTACGGAAGAGTAGTTGAGATATTTTCACTAGTTTAAGCGTTGTTGATTTGATACCTATGTATTTTTGTTGAACTTAGATTGTGTTGGATATCTTAACTATTGACTACAGCCTACTTGAGACAGTATAAAGTTAAAAAGATGCTCAATGTTCTAAAATTACACTACGCCAAGAACGGAAAACATTCTAAACGTCCGACTAGCCGAAAAACAGCGAAGAAATATTTATTAGACGATTGGTCATTGGTGTAGCTATTCCGCCTCGAGCTTGTTGTTATGAATGAAGTTTTATGTTTTCTGTGGAGTCGCTTTTCATTCATAAAACGTTGACTTTTATGACAACTTTTTAAAAACCCTAAACTTGAACATAAACACAGTGTTAGAGTTACAATCATGGAACTATAAGAGTGTATTATTATTGCCCATACAGGCTTGCAGATAAGAAAGAGTTCCAAATTCAAATAAATTTCATTTTCAAGGATAACACAAGAATCACGATGAAACTAGCACTAGAACACTTTAAATTACTCAAATAAAGCTCAACTGTTCATATCACTATAACTTACTGTCTAATTAGAACAATTAAACAGTGATTAACCTTCAACAGCGTAATTTGACCGACTTCGTATATTTACATTTTCTATTATTTAATTCAATATTACGTTCAGATTGTTATGTGAGATTTTAGTTTAAGTCACAATGTTTGGATACTATAAAAATACCTATTCAAAACATCATAATTTGTAATTTCAGCAGGTAATTAATTTATTGCGGTTAAATTGTTTTACATATTCGCAGTTTTGATTACAAATCTCAGCAATTGGTGACAGCGAACCAAAAGTCTCTAAATGGTCCATTGAAGCACAGATCAAACCGCGATTTATGAGCGTATTCTCCAAAGATGTCAACATAATTGTCCTTCCAAAACTCACTCAATGCCTGCCAAAGCGACACCTACACTTAAACAGTATAGACAGTTGGAAGAATGAAGTGCTAGCCGATTCAACATTCATGGTACCAGGTGCAAAAGATGGTATTTTAGGCCCCAAGAAATATGTCAGTATCATTTCGAACGGCATGCAAAAAACTACAGAAGGCCTTTTGAAACAAAATACAGAGTTAGGTGAGATCGCTTCCGGCCCAATAACATCCGGATCCCCCGCTATTCAAGTTGTCAGTATGATCACTCACTATGAAGAAGACAGACCTTTCCCAAGTACTGGGAAATTGAAGAAATAGCCCAAGCGCACCTACTTACAGAAGAAGAGCAAGCATGCGAAGAGATTTACGAGGAAACCACAACTCGAGACTCCGAGGGTAGATTCGTAATTAGAATCCCATTCAAACAGTCAGCAGATGTATTTAGTCACTCTAAAAAAACTTACATCAAGATCCCAGTTTACAAGAACAATATTCAGCATTCATGAAAGAATACCTAAGAGTTGGGTCACAAGAGAAAAGTCGCTCGACATGAAGTGAACCAAGGGAGATATTACAGAACTATAACAAGAACTACTGAGAATGCTTAGCCTTGCTGGATTCAATTTGAGAAAATGGTCCAGCAACTCATCGGCGTTACTTCAATCAATCCCAGAACAATTTCCAGAACAGAAGGTATAAGAACTATACCTCAAGAAGACTTCAAAAAATCTCTATGCGTACTATGGTACACCAGCAGACGATACCTTCAAATTCCAAGTCAAAGTCTCCGAGGTACGCGAATTAACAAAATGACAAATCCTGTCAGAAATATCCAAATTATTCGACCCCTTAGAATGGTTGTATCTAATCGTAATACAAGCCAAACTCATCATTCAAGACTTATGGCTAAGAAACCTGAGCTAGGATGAACCTGTAGAAAATATCAAAATTCCGAGGTGAATACAACTGAGAAAAACGAAAATTGAACTCCACGGCTTTTGCGATGCATCAGGAAAGGTCTACGGTGCAGTGATCTACAGTCGGATAACAGAGGAAGACAAACGGATTGTTACGCTCCTGCCAGCAAAATCAAAAGTCGCTCCAGCGAAAAAAAAACAACCCTACCTTGCTTGGAGCTATGTGCAGTAGTCCTACTATCAAAATTGATACAAAAAACTAAGACTGTTCTTCAAATGGTAAACACCCAGACCTTCGCCTGGACCGACTCCAAGGTTAACTCTACGAGATGGAAAACCTTTGTAGCAAATAGAGTTTGCGAAATATACAGAAACGCTCCTCAAGCATCCTGTAACCACGTCAGGTCCCAAGAAAACCCAGCAGACATCTTATCCAGAGCATGGAGCCCGGACAAGTTAGAATCAGCTGATCTGTGGTGGAGAGGTCCACATTGGCTAAATTCCCTCGGCGAAACCCACACAACAGATAATATTCCCGACATTCAAGAAGAAGTAAGAGCTACATGCCACAAAATTGAAGTTACAATAAATGGGAACGCTTCTCAAACTTCAGAAAGATACTGCCGTAGATTCATCCAAAAAGGAGAAAGTTCTACTGTAGAAGACACTTTCGAAAAAATCATTAAAATAGTGCAACAAGAATTTCCGGAAGAATTTTTACAACAGCAGAATCCAATTGACAAAAAAAGCAAGCTACAGACCCTCAACACTTTTCTCGACAGCAAAGGCACAGTCCGAGTTGAGAGGAGACTCGAACACTTACCTCTACTTTACGACCAACGTCACCCTATGATTCTCCCATACCACTCACACATATCAACATTGGTAGTCAGAGACGCGCACAAGATCACTCTACATGGAAGTAACCAAACAAAGTTGTCAAACATACGGAGCAGATTTTGGATCATCAACGGCAAAAGAGCCGCCAAAGCACTTATAAATATGTGCATTGTATGCATCCGTCATAAAACAGCACTCATGGGACAACTTCCGAAATCGAGAGTAACTACAGCACCACCATTCACAAACTCAGGAGTTGACTACGCTAGACTCATTCAAGTCGGAGCAACAAAAGGGAGAGGTCATAGGTCATACAAAAGGTACATGGCAGCATTTGTATGTCTAGCAACCAAAGCAATCCACCTCGAAGTAGTCAGTGACAGGAGGCTCCGAAAATTTACTGCCAGAAGAGGACATTGCGAATATGTACAGCGATAACGGAACCACATTCGTAGGAGCTGCACGGGTATTCGAAGATGAAATCACAGAATTGATACGATCACAATCTGTTCAAAATACAATCGTCAATCTAGGAACACAATGGCACTTCATTCCACTAGCAGCTCCACATTTTAGGGGAATATTGGAGGCAGGTATGAAATTTATGAAGCACCATCTCCAGACAGTAATTGGAGACTGCATTCTGACCTATGAAGAATTAACGACGTTAGTGTATCAAATCCAAGCATGTCTAAACTCAAGACCATCCTGCCCTCTAACAGAAGACACAGATGATTTCAACATCTTGATCCCAGGAGACTTTCTTATAGGAAGAGAACTGCTAGCATCACTATGCTTAAGCTCGACAAAACATTTTGACCTATCTCAACGATGGAGACAAGTGCAAAAATTAAAGGAAAACATTTGGCGCTCATGGTGCACAGAATCCCTCACAAGACTACAGCAAAGATACAAATGGAAGACTCAGACTAACAATATACGAGTAGGAACAATGGAAAATATAAGTCCCAACCCAGTAGCATCTGGGAAGAATAGTAGAAACTCATCAGGGACAAGATGGAGCAGTTTGCGTAGTAACAATAAAGAGAGCTGGTGGTTCCACACGAAAAGGACCGATTCACAAGTTAATTCCTCTACCGACTTACACCATTTACCAACCATCCAAAATCAGGCAGAAGTAAGGAGATCAGATCGTCTCCGAAACATAGCACAAACATCAACAAATTGTTCTTCCTAGCAGCCATAATGATGATGATCACAGCCGCCCCTGCAGAACAAGGATTTGAAATCAACTATCCGTAACATGGATTCTACGTTGGATCAGCAAAAATTGATAGAGGTATTTTCAAAATAGAGACAACATTTCCCAAGAACCAATAACAACTTATTAAAGGTGTCCACCTTATATGTGCAACCGATCCAAGAAGCTCATCGATGACGTCAAATGCACATCTCTCGTACAGCATTTAGAAGAAATGGAAAATCACTCTAAATGGATATTGGCGACCATGGACGACAATAACCACAGAACCAAGAAAGAACTGTTTGGAAAATTTTTGACTGCGGTTCAGGGCCGCAACTAGGGGGCGGCGAACTAGGCGCCCGCCTAGGGCGCCGGAATATCGGGGCGCCTAATTTAATCCATCCATATTTTACAATCCAAAAATAATGCAACGGTTTTACGCGTCATTTGTCGTAGCACGGAAATTTATTTTGCTTGTGTTACATCTCCTTGTCAACCATCAACACTACGAATATGGATAGTAATCATATAAATTATGTCAAACACAGTGTGCGTGCAAAAGGCAGCAGCAAATGGCAATGTCTGTAATAAATTCAAGTATTGATGACGTAGCGCCCATCATTCGTTAGTCAGAGATTAGCTTCGAGTCGAACTTTGATGCGACCAAACTGAGCAAGAGCACTGTGTGCGACGTGGGCGCCCTCTGCATGCTGCATGCATTATCTCTTTTGACACTTTTCTATCTAGCCGTTTACGGAAACTATAATCGGGTTAACCCGATCAGCAGCTGAATGTTTCCCATCTTTCCTTAATGAATATGATTGAAAAAACACATAATACGTCTGCCGGCAATCGGGTCAACCCGATCATAGTTGCCGTAAACAGCTTTTAGTTTTACAATAGCTTCGTTCGCGGTAAGGATTCTGAACTTGTTCGGAACTATTTCGCATAAGCAATTCAAGTAATGGCGTTCGCGGATCACAAAATTCCGAACTTTCAGTTACGGTTCTGGATTCGCGGATCAACCAGAATCGTTTCGGAACCGTTTCTGAACCAGTTCTAGCGGTTCTAGGATTTTAGCAAGAAATACTTTTGAGAAGCCGTTGGAGGGGCGCCAAAATTTGGACTTGCCTTTGGCGCCGAGGGTTCTAGTTGCGGCCCTGCTGCGATTTTTGGAGTGAACGACGAAGTATATCAAGATATCGACGCAATCAACTACAATCAGGGAGAATTCATCAGAGCATCCAACTAAAGTTCGCATTACGAATCTAGCCCTATGGAAAGAATGCGGATGAAAAAATTGCAATATTGCCTATTTGACTTCCAATAGAAAATACCTTAATATTTATCTATGTTACACACCTACATTTATAAGGAATGAGTAATATTTAAAAACGCTGCGCGCACGCCTATGACAGGCAGCATAAAGCTCGAAATGAATGGCGTTATTCCCCCTTACCCTTCAGACGTCGTAGTTCTAGAGTCGTAAGGCTAACTATACCTAACAAAGTTTATGATATCGGCCCTCACAAAATTCAACGAAACCGAAGCCAGAATCACGAACAAACTACAACATTTCCAGAAATGACTCAACGAAGGAATAGAAGCTATCAACGGCATGCAAAATTGTTACAAACATCAGACACCAATACACTCAAAATTCACCTATTCAGTGCATACCCAGTAGCCACCAACTTGATCAGCGAAACCAACGAGCATTACGATAAATTGCTGAACAATGACTTCAACAGAGGTACAACATATGGCCAAGTTTCACCAGCATATCAACGCCGTCATTGAAAAATCCAATCGAAAACTGCCAAACAACCTGGAAATCGTTTCGGCAGCATTGTCCACAAGATTAATCACCAACAACACGCACATCAAGTGATACTTTCCAATTATTAACGTGACGGAATTCACCCTAGTAAAAGCAAAGTCCATTTTCCAGTTTCTGCTAGAAACATTGAATCTAATCCGTCCTGCGTCATCAACGAAATGTATGAACGGCCACAACCCAGGTATTGCCACATACAACAACACAGCACAGACTACAGGGCATCCTCTGGAAACAAATACATGGATGTTCATCGCAGGTTCCTCTACAAGAGTATCGGTTATATAAATCAGAGAGCGGGAAGATGTAGCAATAAATACATAACAAGAATAATTCATATTTCCCAAGACTGCAACATCCAGACAAAACAGAATATTCTAACTCCCAAAAGAAGCGCAAAAGTTCCAGTTTTAGGCAGCTATGTGAAAGCGGTACCCTTAGTCTTCAATGGTACCCTCCACAAACACACACCTTCACATCTAACCACCGAGCCTGTGTTTAGAGAAACCGATGGTTTTGGAGAACTAGTAAGAGAAGAGGAGGACCTCGAAGATAAACTTCATAATACAGTGTGGCGCAGCATTTATCACCACTCTGCAGCCACCACCAGCATTACAATAGTCATCATCATGATGGTGATAGCAGGATGGCAGGCAACAAAATTAATCGGCAGAAGACGTCAAAAGCAGCAACCAGATCAGCACCAAGACCAAAACGAAGAAATAGAGCTAATGTCTCTACATTCTTCCATTCTGGAGAGGCGGCAGAATATTTCTTTAGAACAATTAAACAGTGATTTAACTTCAATAGCGTAATTTGACCGACATCGTTTAACCAAGTCAACCAAGCCGAGTTAAGTAAGTGTAATTTGCAAACACAGCCCGCACACTTACTGTTCAATTCAAAATTATGGGTCCTGAACTGAGTTGTGATTTAGTTTTGTGAATAGTTAAGCTTGATTGTAGAGTAGTTAAACGAAGTGTAATAGTGCCAGTTCGATTTTTGCATTATTTTCTTGAATAAGTGAAGGTGAATTAACTTTGGAACTTATCTACGAACCCGCTTACGTAACATTATGCGGTCTACTTTCAATTTTGGTAAATTTCATATTTCTTTGAATGGAAGTACCTACATAATACATAGATAAAAAAAGTTGCCTCAAAATATTAGGCATGAACAACAGATATTAAATTGACCATACATCAGCCATGAAACCCCATTTCATCATACTAGATAATTGAAAATAAATAATCAACGAATAGTTCGGTGTGGGACAATTAAAATCGAATCATTCCACCACTCGCCATGTACAAAACCACAATAATACATCTCGCATCGATGTGATAATAACAGAAAATCTCGATTAAAAAAATAAAAAAGAACCGGAGTAATTTTATAATAATTACTACTGGGTGTTCACGCAGCTACTAATAATAAATTTTTTCATCGGACCTTAATGATGGCCAGCGAGGAGGACGTGAATAAGTAAAAAAAAGTAATTATATAATTAGTTATGCTCAAAATGACAGTCAGGTAGAAATTAGAGACTAACGAACTAAGGAACCAAAGGCTTTTTATTTTTTTAATGACAAAAGACTCGGGCTGCGTCAGTTCTGAGAATTTTTCTTTGTCAAGCGCGATTTGATTAATTTTTAATTAACAAATTAAACACTCCAGACTTGGCTTTAGAGGGGGGTCTTGCTGATATGCTAATCTTTTGATCCGCGTTTCTCATATTGGATTTTATTTTTATTACCCTTATGTATACAGAGTGACCAACCTAAATCATTACTACAATAATATATGGACTTCCATTTTGCAGCACCCACAAACAAGAAGGCAAACAACTACCAACGACAAAAGAAATATTATATTATTTAGATGGTTGCCAAGTTCAGTGTAAGTGAAACAGGCGTTGATGGTTACAAGCTTAATCTGGTTAGGGGCTATTTGCACTGCATCCGAACCAAATAAGCAATTAGTTTGTTCACCGTGTGATTTATTTTACGCCTACGTGTGAACAGTACTTGTAAATTGGTTACAGCTAAAGATAAATGAATACAAATATGGCTGAGGTATATGGAAGTGCTCGAGGGCAACAAAAAACAGTATTATTTGCTTTACTTTACAGTTTTAATAAAAGCAATATCTTGAGTGTGACAAAATCGATAAAATATCGGGTAGATGAAAAAGTTTTACCAAAGTCTTTTTACCTACCATCATCAGGAGGGTGCGAACAATCATATTTCTTCGTCGTCATTATGGCTAATGATGGCCATATGAAATCGACTAATTAAGTACCGAAAATGCAAAGTCACGTTCGAAAAAGGGGACGTTCGGCGCGACACCCTTGTGTTTCTTCTATTGCAAACTCCTAAAATAATCAATCAAGTTTTTTTTTTGAATAATTTTCTTCTCAGGTAGGTATATTCCTGACCTGTCTGCAGCAGTCTGCATAACGAAACCTATCAAACAATAATGAAGAATAATTAGGCACGTAGCTTGGTAGCCGGCCAGGCACAATAAGTAATTTTTAATTTAAAACACCACGGCTAACTTCACGGATTAACGGTCTCTCCGTTAATAGCCGTAGAGTCGGATGAAAGAAACTCGACCTCTCGTGAAGGAGAAGAAAAAAGGCCGGTCTTCGGGGTGAATTTACTCTCGGGACTGAAAAATCATTAAATCGAGAAAAATCCGACGCATTGTGTCGGGTAATAACGTCTAATCAAGGAGCTATCCATCGTTGGAAGCACCACAAAAGAAGTAAACATTGTCATGATAAAGATGAAAGCCATGTTATAAGGGACAACATAATTATAAACGTGATATAAAAGATTACGTTTTTGAGGCTTTTAACAACTTTTTTTTTCGTCAATCGTGTTTTGATATACTTTTCATACGAAATCTTCTATTACTCCCCTTCTATTACTCCCATATCGTCATTAGATGACCAGATAGCTGTAGATATACATGTGTCAGCCAAAAATTAGGATTGGAACATGACAATAGCACTTCTCAAATTGTACCAGTACCTGTCCAATCTATCTTCAAAGCTCTGGTTGGAAGAATATTCATTTCCCTGAATCATTGCTATTTAGTTCGTTCATGGGTTATAGGAAGGAGGAAAGAAACCACCTATCTTACGGCGACGCTTCGTATATATATACAGGGTGGTCCATTTAACTTGAGACAGTCTAATAACTGGAAAACGGTGCGTTTTTGAAAAAAAAAGTTCAAATAAAAGTTACATGTATCATAGGGGAAACAAAATGGCGGTACTGATTTTTGACTTTGACAACGTTTTCAAGGTTATTTCAAGGTCAACTCTTTTTTTTTTCAATGGAAACATATTTTTTTATTACAGAATCCTATTCTACAGAAAAAAACAAGTAACTTTTACTTGAAGCATTTTTCGTTCCAGTTTCAATTTAAGCTGATAAAAAAGAACGAATAATTTTTTTTTTCCTCCTCACAAAATCGAAAAGTAGAGAAAGGTTACCAAAAATACCTCAAAAACTATAACAATTGATCAAAATGACCACCGCCAACTTCAACACACTTGTTAATTCGCTGTAAAAAGTTTTCATGGCACCAAATTACAGTTGCTTTACTGACAGCTCTAAGCATTTCTTATGTGTTCCATCATATTATCCGGTCTTGTGGGAACCTCTTGATAAACTGTGTGTTTGATTTTTAAAGTGAATTGACAAGTGTGTTGAAGTTGGCGATCGTCATTTTGATCAATTGTTATAGTTTTTGAGGTATTTTTGGTAACCTTTCTCCACTGTTCGATTTTGTGAGAAGGAACCAAAAAAATTATCCGTTCTTTTCTATCAGCTTAAATTGAAACCAGATCGAAAAATGCTTCAAGTAGAAGTTACTTGTTTTTTTTCTGTAGAGTAAGATTCTATAATAAAAAGATATGTTTCCATTGAAAAAAAAAGAGTTGACCTTAAAATAACCTTGAAAACGTTGTCAAAGTCAAAAATCAGTACCGCCATTTTGTTTCCCCTATGATACCATGTAACTTTTATTTGAACTTTTTTTTTCAAAAACGCACCGTTTTCGAGATATTAGCCTGTCTCAAGTTAAATGGACCACCCTATATACTTATGAATACATGAATTTACGAATATTAACAGTCCTCTCGCAAAGTTCCAGGACAATCTTCCTAATTTCACTAAGTTAAGTTCAACTATTCACAAAACTCTTATCACTATAAGTAGTCATTCTCAACTTACTGCTTTGACGTCGAGGGCTCTTTATATATATAAATCGTTTCACTCCTTCTGTAATTGCCTAGAAAATTATCTTCTGGAAATTTTTCATAAACGTCGATCCATAATTCTCTAGATTATTCCATCAACGTTGAATTACATCCAAAAATTTCAGTATACCTAATCAAGTATGCAAAGTGGTTGATCAATTCTAAGGCTCTCTCTGTTAGTTCAAGGCCTAGGGAGCTGAGACTTTGGATTTTGGGGTTCATTCCTGGATTTCCCCATGCGGTGTTGCCAGATTGTGCACAACTGTCATTGTCAAAAAACTCGTTAAATTCCATCCAAAAATTTCAGTATACAAAGTGGTTGATCAATTCCAAGGCTCTCTCTGTTAGTTCAAGGCCTAGGGAGCTGAGACTTTGGATTTTGGGGTTCATTCCTGGATTTCCCCATGCGGTGTTGCCAGATTGTGCACAACTGTCATTGTCAAAAAACTCGTTGAATTCCATCCAAAAATATCAGTATACTTACCTAATCAAGTAGACAAAGTGGTTGATCAATTCTGAGGCTCTCTCTGTTAGTTCAAGGCCTAGGGAGCTGAGACTGGATTTTGGGGTTCATTCCTGGATTTTCCCGTGCGGTGCTGTCAGATTGTGCACAACTGTCATTGTCAAAAAACTCGTTGAATTCCATCCAAAAATTTCAGTATACCTAATCAAGTATACAAAGTGGTTGATCAATTCTAAGGCTCTCTCTGTTAGTTCAAGGCCTAGGGAGCTGAGACTTTGGATTTTGGGGTTCATTCCTGGATTTCCCAATGCGATGTTGCCAGATTGTGCACAACTGTCATTGTCAAAAAACTCGTTAAATTCCATCCAAAAATTTCAGTATACAAAGTGGTTGATCAATTCCAAGGCTCTCTCTGTTAGTTCAAGGCCTAGGGAGCTGAGACTTTGGATTTTGGGGTTCATTCCTGGATTTTCCCGTGCGGTGCTGCCAGATTGTGCACAACTGTCATTGTCAAAAAACTCGTTGAATTCCATCCAAAAATTTCAGTATACCTAATCAAGTATACAAAGTGGTTGATCAATTTTAAGGCTCTCTCTGTTAGTTCAAGGCCTAGGGAGCTGAGACTTTGGATTTTGGGGTTCAGTCCTAGATTTCCCCATGTGGTGTTGCCAGATTGTGCACAACTGTAATTGTCAAAAAACTCGTTGAATTCCGTCCAAAAATTTCAGTATACCTAATCAAGTAGACGAAGTGGTTGATCAATTCTAAGGCACTCTCTGTTAGTTCAAGGCCTAGGGAGCTGAGACTTTGGATTTTGGGGTTCATTTCTGAATTTCCCCATGCGGTGTTGCCAGATTGTGCACAACTGTCATTGTCAAAAAACTCGTTGAATTCCATCCAAAAATTTCAGTATACCTAATCAAGTATACAAAGTGGTTGATCAATTTTAAGGCTCTCTCTGTTAGTTCAAGGCCTAGGGAGCTGAGACTTTGGATTTTGGGGTTCAGTCCTAGATTTCCCCATGTGGTGTTGCCAGATTGTGCACAACTGTCATTGTCAAAAAACTCGTTGAATTCTATCCAAAAATTTCAGTATAGCTAATCAAGTAGACGAAGTGGTTGATCAATTCTAAGGCACTCTCTGTTAGTTCAAGGCCTAGGGAGCTGAGACTTTGGATTTTGGGGTTCATTCCTGGATTACCCCATGCGGTGTTGCCAGAATGTGCACAACTGTCATTGTCAAAAAACTCGTTGGATTCCATCCAAAAATTTCAGTATACCTAATCAAGTATACAAAGTGGTTGATCAATTTTAAGGCTCTCTCTGTTAGTTCAAGGTCTAGGGAGCTGAGACTTTGGATTTTGGGGTTCATTCCTGGATTTCCCTATGCGGTGTTGCCAGATTGTGCACAACTGTCATTTTCAAAAAACTCGTTGGATTCCACCCAAAAATTTCAGTATACCTAAACAAGTATACAAAGTGGTTGATCAATTCTAAGGCTCTCTCTGTTAGTTCAAGGCCTAGGGAGTTGAGAGACTTTGGATTTTGGGGTTCATTCCTGGATTTCCCTATGCGGTGCTGCCAGATTGTGCACAACTGTCATTATCAAAAAACTCGTTGAATTCCATCCAAAAATTTCAGTATACCTAATCAAGTAGACGAAGTGGTTGATCAATTCTAAGGCACTCTCTGTTAGTTCAAGGCCTAGGGAGCTGAGACTTTGGATTTTGGGGTTCATTCCTGGATTTTCCCTTGCGGTGTTGCCAGATTGTGCACAAATGTCATTGTCAAAAAACTCGTTGAATTCCATCCAGAAATTTCAGTATACCTAATCAAGTATACAAAGTGGTTGATCAATTTTAAGGCTCTCTCTGTTAGTTCAAGGCCTAGGGAGCTGAGACTTTGGATTTTGGGGTTCAGTCCAAGATTTCCCCATGTGGTGTTGCCAGATTGTGCACAACTGTCATTGTCAAAAAACTCGTTGAATTCCATCCAAAAATTTCAGTATACCTAATCAAGTAGACGAAGTGGTTGATCAATTCTAAGGCTCTCTCTATGTTAGTTCAAGGTCTAGGGAGCTGAGACTTTGGATTTTGGGGTTCATTCCTGGATTTCCCTATGCGGTGTTGCCAGATTGTGCACAACTGTCATTTTCAAAAAACTCGTT